ATTAATGAGAAATAAAATGAACTTTTTTGATTTTAGCAAATGGCTGCAATGAAACAAAGAGTGAAAAATTTAAAGGGGTCTGAATACTTTCCGTACCCATTGTATGTGTGTATGTGTGTGTGTGTGTGTGTGTGTATGTATGTGTGTGTGTGTGTGTGTGTGTGTGTGTATATATGTATGTATATATGTATATATGTATGTGTGTGTATATACGTGTGTGCGTGTATATACGTGTATCTGTGTGTATATGTATGTATTTTTTTTTTTCTTTGTGTGGTGTGGACTCCCATCTAATAGTCAGATTATAGTGACTTTAAGAGAGAAATAGTATATATTTTAAGGGTTAAGTCTGAATTTAACTGCACATAGTAGACACTAGTCTAAAAATTCAACATTTTACCAAGGAATCACAGACACGTCAACAAAATCTGGTCCAAAAATTAGGTCACATGATAATGATGGAAAGGCTTGTGGTCTGCGCCCATGACCAGATCTCCACAATTGATGAAGACTGATGACAGTGTCAACCATCTATCTTTTTCTTTTTCTTCTATTGGCACTGTTTAAACTCAACCCAATCTGAACCCCTTCTCTTGTGTTTCTAACCCTCCAAACCTGTTGATCCTCTCCCTCTCGACATCCTCCCTGATTAACTGCTCGTTGTCCAGCAGGAACCGTAAAACCACACAGGCCGTACTCAGTGGGATAATTAACACTGCCAGTTCTCTGCTTTTTTTTCTCCAGAGGGCTTACCATGTATAACTCATCACAGTTGTATGTATAAGGATTGTTTCCTGTTTTCCCAAAGCTACTTACTTGCATGACGAGCTGCCTGTGCAAAGAGCTACTTTCATCTTTCATCTTTTTGGCCAACATTTTCCTCAAGATCAGCATTTTACACTCATCTCCAATGGATCTTTAATGAACATGAATGCAGTAATTGGGAAAATAACTTGGTTGATGGGTATTTATACACTCGGAACACTTTACATTGTGTAAGTGTAAGCTCTGTAGCTTCGAAGATTCTTATTGCAGCTATTTGGCATGGTTTCTGAATTAGCACCCATTTAGGGCTTTTTTAATTCCCTTACTCAACATTTAAATTGAATTATTGTTAATTTTTGAAGCAACATTTTTTTAATCTAAACCTCATATTCCAGAGCATACCCGTAGGCATATCAACAAAACGGAGAACAATTGAACTTGTCTCTCTTATCTATTCGTCTGTCTGTCTGTCTGTCTTGTGTATTGAGTTCGTTGCTCTCTAATCCTGACATTCGTGCTTTTCTGCACTTTGCAGAAAACAGCCAAGATGGAGGAATTCATGCCGACTTAATATATGACAGACCATATGACTATAGCTCGGCGCCTGAAATCGTGACGGTAGACCGTAATGCCAAGTATGAGTTCTCAACCTTAGAAAGGGGGGTTCCGCAAGGGTATCCATTGAGGGAACAACAGGAAGATAAAATGCAGTATTTGCAGGTATATTTTTTTTATTAATTTTCTTCATTTCTTTTACTTGATCAATTGAACTATTTTAAAATGACACTGTGCATGGTGAAGTGGCCTCATGGGCCTTTAATAACTTGTTAGAATTTTCTGGAATCATCAGACATTTTGTGAAGCTATCTCTACCAGATATGCCACAGATTTCTTTGTCTATTTTACGTGAATCAAAAATACACTCTGGCTGACTAATGTTTGGTAAATATGACCATCGACAGTCCCATCAACATGTTAGATGTGCTTCATTTATCGACTAGTGTGTCCTAGCCATGGGCCTACATGCAATTGACTCCATTTTTATTTTGTGAGAGGGTAAGAGCTTAGTAACTGACTTACCTTCTACATTTCAGGAGTCCCTCAAGGTTTCATGAAAGCACTATAAACATTTGCTCATATTCTACCCAAAAGCATTGTGTCCATTGGATCGGACATCCATTCCAGTCAGATGCAGAGCTGTGAAATGCTCCTTTTCGGCCTGCATCTATGCCAAAACGTTCTTTCCCAACATGCAGCCTTTTAGGTCAATGAAACAAAACCTTGTTTTCTGCTAAGGTTCCAATACTGACTTAACTCTGCAAATTCCAAGTTCTGGCCCACAATCCAACAATGGATCAATTTTCATGAAAATTATTGATTAAATCAGTGATGATGATGAAAATCTTGCTGGACTTGGCCTGGAAGGCTGTGGTGATGATATTTAACTTTAGAATCAACTGATGCAACCCCACACAATATTAACTTTTAACAAAGCATCTTCATACTGTGTCATCTTTGTCAGAAAACAGTACAGCCTGCAGCTGAAGCAGTCTACATTTACTGGAAAAAATGCTCATTGGAAAAAAAAAAAAGTGTATGTGTATATATATATATACACAGAAAAATGGGATTACACCCCAGATGTCCAACATTAAAATTAAAATTTTAAAGACCAGTGATTGAATTGGATCTCTATTCAATTTGACTTTTTACAAAGCCTGGAAACAGAGATGTATACAGTAGTAGTACCATTTCATCAGACCAAGTCATGACCCCATCCATTGTTTTTGTGTCCGATACACCTCGTCATTAGATTTAGAAGATTCATTTGATTGTAAAGTAATATTTAGCTGTGTTATTCCTTGCTGTATACATGTGATGGTGAATTAATTTAGGTGTATTTTTTTATTTCAGTTACAGGACAACTGGCTAAACTGTGTCACATTATCTTTTTGCTGTTAAGGCCCAATTAGACCATAAACAAAGAAAGCCCTTCAAATCCGTAATCAATCGAATCAATAGAACATCCATTTGAGAATGTCCCTTCTCACATGGATTGATTGCAGAATAAAGCCTCTTTGGCTTTATTAGCTTGTTGTGCAAGTCTCTGTCTTTCTTCATCATGCATCTGAATTCATTCTTATGCTTGTGCTGCCCTCTGCTGTTCAGCCCCCCCCCCCCACACACCTTACACACTCAATGCTACTGTATCGTCTGCTGTCTCATTTCTCTGTATTTACTAAAACCCACCACAGGGGGGCAGGCTGATATCAATCTTGTGGCTCTTGACGTCACCTTGACAAATCCTCTCTCTCTTGCATAGTTGTCAGAGCAGAATGGAATGTGAGTATAACATGTAGGGAACAATCATCTGTTTGCAGTTTTCATCTCCAAATAATGGAGGTGAATACTAGTTCAGTTATAACCATGTTTATGTATGTTACAATGTTCATACATGTCAGGGATTCGTTTAAAAAAAAGAAGCACTTATCTTGAACAAGCAACGTCTTGTGCTGCACTACAGCTAAATCAGGGAACCAAAATAGAATGGATTTTGATACTAAACTGAAAAAGATTACTGAGCCCGATGTCATCAATCTAAATATTTACACAAAGCAGTCCATTGGGACTATTACAGGTCAGTGTTATTACTAAAATTGCAGTGTACTATCACAGTGGCATTGACGGCCACATAACCTCAAGGAAACCTGCATGTAATGTCCTTTTAATTGATTATGTAGGTGTAACAATAACATATATCGTAATGTTAACAATGAGCACCGCCACAATGCTTAATTCTGTTTTGCTGTATAGGTGAATGAATGTCAAAGTTATTTATACACTGAGTGGTTTGATCTGTGTGTTGCGTCCAGGTGCCCCCTACAAGAAGATACTCCCACGACGAAACCGACATGTGGACCATCGACCGGATCCCCTCATACCTTCACCGATGGGGCTCCACCGAGGACATGATGGTGACTGCCCACTACAGCTCCACCTTGCCGCGCCGCGAGAGGCGCAGGAGCAGCCTGGTCTCCTACCACGAGGAGAGCCACCATCACCATCACCCGCATCGCAAGCGGCGACGCTCTGAGGACAGCATGCACTCCCTCAAGCACCTGCCGCGCGTGGTTTGCAGCGGGGAGCACTATGAGGACGAACTGCGGTGTTTTAGCCGCGACGAGGTGATCAACTTCATAGATGAGACACCGCTGCCGAGCCCCAGGAAGAGCCCGCGGCGCACATCCACCATCTCACTCATCCCAAACGTGTATGAACAGCACACTGTCATCCTTCCGCACTTCCTGCTCACCGACTTTGAGCGTGAGCCTCAAGCACTCAGGCGGCTCTCGGAACACAAACGGAGCAGCAGTCGGGGCAACACGCCTGAGGCTTCCCCCAAACCAGACAGGCCTGCCGGAAAGAAGAGCCCCGTGGCTTGTGGCTCCGGTAAAGGCTGTCGGGAGCGTGTGCGAGACGGGAAACAGCAGAGTCAGGTGGGCTCACCTGGGCGCAGCCAGCAGACTCCGGGGCGCTCTGCCTGTAGGCCCAGGACAGGCGGTGGAGCCGGGGCTGATGCTGGAGCTGACTGGGGGTATCAGAAGCACCCGAGCAAGGGTGAGAGTAAAGTTAGCACAAACAGTTTTGTAAGCACACCCTCGGCGTCGTCCAAGGGATACATCACGTTCCACTCTGATTCTGTCGGCTCCACCTAAAAGCAAAGTTTACCCTTGTTAATTGTTATTATCAACATTATTACTGAAGTAATGAAAACCACCGGGAGATTGGTGGTTATGGGAAAGTGACATACTGGATTATTTGTCCTTTTTACTTGTGCCACTATTCTGTTTTACGATATAAACCACCAATACACATTTGTTATGCTAAATGGCCTTGGGAGCTTTGGACATATTTTCTGAATGGGCCTAATGTTTGTGAGAAGGTCGGTGGTCCTGTTATTCAGCTTTCACATCACAAAATATCACCAAATGACACTTATTATTTCCAGCACTGACACAAATAAACTTTTATTTTGTTAAATGGCGTGAACATTGCCACTCCTTGTTTTAGCTGTTCAGTGTTGTTTCTTATGAACTGCTCACATAATTGGAGGAGGTTGTTGTTAAGGTGGTATTTTTCTCTTTCCTTTTTCTTTGCACTTAAGAACTTGAACTCATTGTATTTTATTTAGCCTTTAATGGCTGTGTTTTGTTGTATGGATACATTGGCTTTCAAAACAAAGTTATCTCAATACTGCTCCTTGTACCTTGGTATTGACTTAAGGACATGACACAGTAAATATGTTTGTTTTATTTTGATGATGTACACCTTTTCTATTAACATTGTTACTCACAACACATGACTTATTTTTTTCAAGCACCTTTCGTTGAAGTAAACTGAAAGTGGTAATCCCAAACTCTTTTATGCCTAATAGTTTTACAGTTACTGTGTGATATTGAGATATAACGTGAAGGCCCCTAAATTCCGAAGGAAAATGTGAAGTCAGTTTTTAAAGATTGTCGTGTCATGTACATATGAAGGATATTGGATTCATGGTTTTGGTGTTCTTTTTTTGTTTAATGAGACCTTTGCGTAGAACATTTCCTCCCAGTTCATATTCCAATGTTTGTGTTTAACTTTGGAGATGATCAGGCACAACAGTTGCCCACCACCACATTGCATATTTCCATATAAAACATCAGACCAATACAGCTGGAAATGGTGCTTTGTCCCCATCAACGGAGCATGTCAGCCTGACCGCACCTCTTTATTTGTTTCAGTAACGTGTTAGAAAGCACCAATAATTATTTTTTGAATAGCTGTCTGAGAAGGAACCTCTAAAAGAAGTCAAATTGTCTGAAGGTTGAATGATCGCAGCCTTCAAGTTGACTAGATGTAGCGGAACTTAAATGCTGATGTCGTACCTAAACCCACAACGATGTTGGCACTAATTAGGAACATTGTTAAAAGAATGGAAATGTAGTACAGTAAATGTATCTGGTACTACAAACAGCAGACATTACATTAGATGTGTTATCTCATGCATTAAGACTGCTAAAGGTTCTGTTCTGGGAGGTCTGTTGAGTATATAAGCAAATGTAAACATCCCCAAAGATTTATTTAATGATGCTGTGGGGAAATTAAAGTCAGATTTTATTCATTATCTATAAATATATATTTGGGGAGAGAATGATTATTTATCATGATAGCAAATTCTAAAAGGTCATGGAAAAAAAAATGGTATTACTAGATTATCAGTTACCATCATTGTGAGAACTTCTCACTTTGCACTCTCAGTCAAAATAGACACTGCAGTGAACTTACACAATGCTTCACAAAGCCCATTGTCGCATTCATGAAGAACTTCTCATGTTTACCAAATGTGACAACTTGCTGACTAAAAGGAGTGCGAACTCTTTGACGTCTCATGGACGGTAACTGCTAACCTGAATGTATTTGGAGATTAGGACGTATAAAGACAACATGAAATTAAAATGTGCCCTTTGACAGCCGTATTAGCTGTGAAACTTTTTTTGCTATTATCCAGGTAATAAAGTTGCACCTGTTTGGCATATAGGTTTTTACCTGCGGCCATTTAAGTGTTTATTTTAACTTCTCATGTATTAGTGTACCTCTCACTCATTGCAGCCTATTCAACTGGACTGAACTGTTGTTTTTAGCTGAAATGTATCCTCCTCTGGAAGCATAACATCACATTCTCCTGTCAAACTTTGCTTTGTCAAAGATTTTTTGCATTTTTTTGTGTTTACAATATTAAATTATAATTTTGTAACATATTCAAAGATTTATGACTCAAATATGAATGATGTTAAATGCTATGATTTTCTTGTTCATATGACTTTGTTAAAAAAAGATATGACTGATTAAATTCACAAGGTGATGCTCAGAGAGTGTTTTTAGAGTTTTGGGACAGTGTTGTACTATGCTTGTTGTGGGGCCGTATTACCATGTGAGACCTTCTGAGACGTCTCCGATTTTTTTTTTTTTCCCCAGGAGTTTGAGCGATAGACATAATGAAGCAACATAGTTGTCACCATGGCCACATAAAAGTTAAGCCTATGTCCCCAGAAGAAGACCAAGATTCGGTGTCCTTCACAATGATATGAGATGTGAGATATGAATGGTCAGTCTCTCTCTAATTTTGGCAACTTCCTGCTTTCAGTTGGATCTACAGAAACATATCTAAACATAAGTTAAAACAACATTTTGCTGGAGCTGCACATTCTCTGCCTTTGAACACTTAATAGTGTAGAAATTGTATGATAAACCTTAGAACTTTAGTTCTGGTCTGATTTCTCATCACACCACAGAAAAAATTGGATGAATGAATTAACTAAAATTCAGAGTTAAATTATTCAGCTTCCCATAAACACAAAATCAATTTTAAGAAATATGTTTTGTCACATGAAAAAGAAAATAAGATCTATTTTTCCCACTCCACTTTTCCATCTTCCGATCATAATAAGTGTTCACTCTACAGATTTTATTAAAGAATTTTAGTAGCACTTAACAAGCAGTTGCCGTAGCAGCATGCAATTACCACGTGATGGCTGTTCCTTGAGATGTTACGATGATGCAGGTAAGCAGTAACGGGAACTAGTCAACGTTAGCCAATACACATCTGGTAACAGTAAACAAACCTTTGTTTAATAATATAAGGTTAATGTTTAGGCAAATAAGACAAACCAAACAGAACTAGGTGTTGGACCATTGTGTCTAGTTTATATACACAGCTACAGTCTAGATAATCGGTACTTATAACAAACACAGCGACTGTATCATACATTTGAAGGAATAAAGGGAATGTCCTCTCTCACACTAACAGCACCAGACAGTTTGAGTTTCTCTCGAACAAAGTAAAAAACAATCAGACAGTGAAAGTGAGGTTGTTTGGTTGGATGCTGTGGTGATGCTGAGCAAGTAGGTTCTGGTGTTTATCTGGATCCAGGTGAAGTTAGAGGACTTTATTTAGAATTTCTTAACAATGTGAGATAAGTCATGAGATTTATGAACATTTACACGCGTTTCTCAACTATTACGACACTCCCTTGATCTAATGTTAACAAAACATCTGGCACAAGTATTCCCTCACTGTCTATGTCTGTGTATTTTGATGCAAATCTGGAAAGACATGCGGATGAAAAATGAATGAACCTTTTCTTATGAAGAAGATTGTTGTTCTGATGCAGGGTTGTCAATCAGCATTCATACACAGGAAAAAATAATGTAATTTTCTGATACGTGGCTGCAGTGTACACGATAATCTTAAACTGAGGAAAACAAAGACCTGTTTTTCTTTTACATGGTGAAAAGCAGATTACCACTGAAGGTGCTATGATGATTTTCACTGTCATGAATTCTTGTGTTCCTCCAGAGACGCAAAAACACAACATCTCTGACCTCTAGAAGCAGCGTGGCACCATTAGCAGATGTGCCAAAATGGGACGGCTGATGCTCATATGCTGTAAAAATATGCTCTCCGTTCTTGACCAACACAACAGATGAACCATATGAAGCATGTCCACCTGCAGCTATGTAGAACTCAAAGTGGTAGGCTCCTCTTACTGGTGCAATGAACAAACCTGTGGGACAGTTTTGTCAGTGAATGGGGAATTATCTGTTTATGATGTGGTTGAAGCACACATAGCAAAAAAGTCAATAAATATTTAAAATTGTAAATTAAAGTACCTGTGTTTGGGTTGTAGGCATTTCCGATGTTTGTGACAACGTATCTGAAGACCAGAGGAGTGTTTGTGTTAAATGGTCCAATATGTCCTGAGCCTGAAGCCAACAGAGATGTTGAGAAAGCCACCTGTTTGACTGAGAAAGAGAGAGAGAAACATACTCATTTTAGAGAATGATGTTACAGCTTAATGACAACATTGACCATGACAATAATGAGCTTTTTTCTAAGTTCATTATTGTTATCTATTAAAAACACATCATTAAACTGTGTATTATTATCACCATTCTAGATAGGGTTTTAAATGATCTATTACAACCGAACTGTTCAAATAACTTATTTTATCTCACCTTTATTATCTCTTTTCAGAGCCTCCACCTGGTTTTCTGTGACATCTGTCCTGGCTGCCATGTTGCTCAGCTCTGCTCTCGTGTAGATCAGCTCTGCTGCCTGTGCTGAAATTAATTAGAATAGGTGCAATGTGAAATACATGTTTGTCTCCAATAAAAACAATCTTTGACAGTTAAATGTATTTCATCACCATTGTTTTCATTAGGGTGTGCTTTAGCCACTGAAAACCTGTATAATTACTTAATACTCTCCAGAAAAATTGGGTAACATGCATCATTAAAATCCTGTGTCAATATACGTAGGAAAAACAGTCTTATACTGTTCATATTGTCTCTAATACAGATGTGTTAAACTCAAGGTCTGCGGGCCGAATCTGGCCCCACAGTGGTGGAATGAACTCCCCACTGACGTCAGGACAGCAGAGTCGCTGCCCATCTTTCGGCGCAGGCTGAAAACTCACCTCTTCAAGAAGTACTACCCTGAGCCTTCCACTCAGCACTTATTGTATTCATACTAGTTTGTTGCACTTATTGTATTCATTTGTTTCTGCACTGTACTTTTGCTCTGGTTTATGCTCTTAGATGCTTGTTTAATAAAGGAGATGCACTTATGACTTCTGGTGACTAGTAGTTCTCTTGAATACCTATGTTGAATACACTTATTGTAAGTCGCTTTGGATAAAAGCGTCTGCTAAATGACTGTAATGTAATGTAATGTAATCAGTGTTTATAAGAGGCATGAAGGCAGACTTGACTGTCAGTGAGCAGCTCTTGGATGTAGCCATGCACGGGATGATGACGGGGAGGGACATTTTTAATGCAGAGAGGTGACAAAAATAGCTTTGAACAAAGTTATTGTAATAACTTGTGTTTGATGATATTTGACTTTGTTATTTTCTTTAAAAGTTTGATCTTTGATAGAGTAATGTGGCTTTCTTAACCCTAAATTGAAAGGATTTATGTTATAATAACAGAAATGTGCTTAAATATATTTTTACATTTACATGTACAATATTTTTACACTTGAATAAACAATAATCACAGAGAGACAGTTATTTAGCAATATGTTAGGGAGTAGTTATACATTCTTACAGTTACAACCGGCCCTTTGAGGGCAACCATAATGCTGATGTGGCCCAGGGTGAAAATGAGTTTGACACCTCTGCTCTAATATGTCATTTTGAGGTATAACGATTCAGCATTGCTCAATATATACGTGTACCTTTAGCTGTTGCTTCAGCTTCAGCTTAATGACAACATTGACCATGACAATAATGAGCTTTTTTCTAAATTCACTATTGTTATCTTAAAAATACACCATTAATCTGTGTATTATTATCACCATTCTAGATAGGGTTTTAAATGATCTATTACAACCGAACTGTTCAAATATCTTATTTTATCTCACCTTCATTATCTCTTTTCAGAGCCTCCACCTGGTTTTCTGTGACATCTGTCCTGGCTGCCATGTTGGTCAGCTCTGCTGCCTGTGCTGAAATTAATTAGAATAGGAGCAATGTGAAATACATTTTTGTCTCCAATAAAAACAATCTTTGACAGTTAAACGTATTTCATCACCATTGTTTTCATTAGGGTGTGCTTTAGCCACTGAAACCTGTATATTGTTCCAACAAATTACTTAATACTGTTCATAATACTGTGTATATATGTTGGAAAAACAGTCTTATACTGTTTATATTGTCTCTAATATGTCATTTTGACGTGTACCTTTTAGCTGTTGCTTCATCTTGTCCACCTCAGTCTTTTGTAACTCCAGTTCTCTCAGTTTGGCTGCCTGGGCTAAAAAAAACAAAAAGGGAAAAAAGAAGATTCAATGACATATTTTTTGTAAATATTATTTCGGTCTGTTCTGTAATAACAAAGTGGTTCGTGCTGCAAGTACTTCCTCACAACTTAACATACTACAGTACCTTCATTTTCTCTCTGTAAGTGCCTCATCTCCACCCTAGCCTGTAAACTGGTTAGCATATGCCTAGGTTTATGACAATTCTGTTCCTTGCATTATGTCATTTCTGTCAAGCAGAGTGGCGCAGCGGAAGCGTGCTGGGCCCATAACCCAGAGGTCGATGGATCGAAACCATCCTCTGCTATCTTTTCCCTTCCTGTCAGCAGTAGTTAGTATCTTTCCTTTGTCACTCCTGGGCTAACGTTCTGCTGTATAAAGTAAAAATAACTCTGACGGGCGAACTTTACCGAGCTCTATAGGATTGTATTTTCTAACTATTTAACTCTTTATTTTACTCCCCAAATCTCTGTCAATTTTAAACCTAAAGTGAGTGCATTTATTTATGCTGCGTTCCAGATAACTCGGAGGTCAGAATTTGTCTCTGTTGAAATTTCCAACTTCCTATTTTTAAGAGTTGCACCACGCCAAACGTTAACAAAAACCATGGCTGACCGTGCCTTGACAAACTGCTGTTTGTTTGTGGTGTTTGTTTGTGGAGCTTTTTTCACGAGTTCCCGAGTAACTTGTGTACAGAAAAAACAACTTTCAGAGATCGCTTACGGTAACCTACTTACCTACCTACCTAATAACTTTGGCGACCTATTTTGACATCAATTTACAAGTAGAACATGTTTTACAATATGATAGCATATATTATTCAAATTAAATACAGGTGAATATTTACGTTGCCTTTTAGTTGATCGTTTATCATTTACAGTGTGTGCTTCCATTGTTGTGTGACAGACAGCCTTGAAGGTATGTTTGGTTCTGAAATTACATAAAAATAACAAGTAAATACATGATGTATACAACTAGGTTGCAAATTAACCATAAACAAATATCAGATGAAATAAACAGCATTAAATACATTGGTATCAATCTGTAATCAACCTAGATAATTAACAAAGACACAGGTAAATATAACTAAATCTATGGTTTACACACTGATACTGCCATCTACTGGTAGAGATGGTAAACACTTTCACTCAGATCTCCTTATACAGGCTCTGTGTCCACTCAAACAACAGCACAATACGGTGGAAAAATAGATATCAGTGCTAACAGCAACAACTTTGATTAAACTACATTATTAACTGTGTTGCATCAAACACTGTACCGATTAATCGAAAACTTGATTATTGCTGTACACATGGATAAATTCATATTAAACCGCATGTAGTCAACTGTTGCTACTCCCATGGTCCAGGTTTATTCATTTACTTTTCTGCTAATGTTACCCTGGTATGTGCTTGCATCATAGACCGTAAATAACATTGTTTTCATTATATTGCCTTGGCTTTTATTTCGATTTTGTTTCTCTCGTTTTTCCGTTTTTGGTTTAAAACACAAAAAACGAAATGAAAATGGTATTTCTGAATTTTTGTTTTATTTTTTTACTATTAAACGATAAAACAAACTATCAAAACGTACACGGACCGACCAGGTCTGCATCTGTTCATTGGTGTGATATAGCGTAGGTGGGAGGGGCAAGCAACAAACAGGAAGTTAACCCAGCAATGCATGAGGTGAGGAAAATGACTAAAGATTTAGCTACTTTTCATCAAGGGGTCATACAATTGTCAGAGCTGATATATTGCACAAACTTTTGATGGAAACATGGATACGGTGCACTACTGCAACAAAATCGGTCAATAATGTGTCAATATGATGTAAGGTTGTTTTTACTCTGTTTAATTGTTTGGGTGAATGGGACAGCATGATTTTTGGGTGATTGGAACAGTGCTAAAAGGCTTTGCAAAGGACTTAAATGATGAACCTTGCAATAGAGAACCATTGTGTATGACCTTTATGCTGTACATGAGTGGTTGCCAACCACCTTATGTGTGCTGATCACTAATCAATCACAGAAACGCTGGATGCTGCCCAGCATTTTTCTAGTCAAACTTGTGACGGTGAGGAAAGACAGTTTATTATTGAAACTTTTAAATCTTCTAGTAATATAGTTTAGCAGAAATTACTAGAGTCTCAATTCATTATAATGATGAACAGGAAAAGGAAAATGTGCATGTGAAATTATATCAAAGTCTGAATTGCACTAGCCCAAATCAATGATAATGTACCCCAATCACCCAAAAGGTCTTGTTTCATTTACCCAAATGTTACCAAAAAACGAAAAGATGTTGGGTCATACAAAAGGTTATGCCACGCCTCCTTGGATATAACCTTCTTTCACCTTCAAATAACATTTTCAGTATTGCAGAATTGTAGGCCTATGTGTTGCCACTGTTGAGCTTTTTTATTATTATTGTATTTATCTATTTATGGCAAGAAAGCTTTCACAAGGCGGAAATTCAAAACTCTCTCAGTCACCATTGCACAAGTCCACTGTTACCAGCATATGAGAGAATAATCAACAGCTGTGCTGAACCTGTCGTAGCAGAGACATTACCAGTGAAATGAGCAGTGAGAAGAGAGGTCTGCAGCGCACTTCATCCACGTCTGCTCGCTTAAGGGCGCTCGACTGGGCCCAGTCTCATGCTAATAACTTATTCTCTCCCTCCCGACGGTTCTCGGCTCTAATATGCGTCGCTATTATAGTGCCAACCCAAACTAGCTTACTTAAACAATACGGGGAAGAGTTCATAGAAATTCTTAGAAAAAGTTTAAGGGCATTCAGTTTGGAAGTCACGTGGCATTTCCTTTCTTCCTAAAACAAACTTCTCTTTTTGTCATGGGCCGTCTCTTGGTCTCATCAAAAGAGTAGCTTTGACTTTGTGAAAGTATTAAGACGATTTACAGACGGGGTTTATGAGCCGATAAGACCAAACAAAGAGCTGGAATAACAAATAGTTGCCATAGCTAAGGGGGTTTGGAGCTGTGAGTAGAGTTGTTATTTTGCGGCCAAAAAAATACCCTTGAACCAGGCAGCGCGTACTTTTTTGTCCTTCGTAGACCTATACTGCACAGGAGCAGCCCTCTTCCAGTGGGCAGCAGTGTCTTTTCAGCATGTACCATCTGAAAGAGCTGTGGGCGTTTCCGCCATTCTCCTCGCTGTAAGGTGCCATCCTTTTCCAACAAGGCCCCTTCAGACTGGGGAGACACTTTATGACATGCCTGCCAAAGCAGCGGAAGAAAACTATAGGGCACTTTAAAAGAGCTTTCTGATAGACAGGTTTCCTGTCTCGTGCACATGGCGTATAGCCCAAAAGTAAGTATGTGCGATCAGTGTTATGGGTCAACACAGTCTCTTGTGGAGGCCGACTGCAGGTTGGCTATTTAGTAAAACCAGCAGACGTACAAATACTACTTCAGTATACATAAAACTACCACTACTGTATAGGCTACTTGACTAAAAACATAAAAGTTAGTTAGGGTTTATCCAAAAAGTTGTCCTCCGTACAATTGATCATTGTATTGGTTTAAAAAAAAAACAGGACGAGTAAGGTGTGTTTTTAGATCAATGATTACATTTACGTTTAATTGTATACATCTGGCGCTACAGGTATCCATAACCAGCCTAAGGGACGTCAGAAAGAGGTTGTTTGGGCCTATAGGTGTACAGTTATTCTAAATTGCGTTTCAGAAAACCTGGAAAATAATTGAAACGATAGATATTTAAGTCCAGAGGAGACAGAGAAGGGTGCATGGCGTGTAATTAGTAGCCTGTAGCAGAAAATTGTTGCGCTGCCCGACAAGCATCTGATTTGCTCGCCACTGTTTCGGTACTTATGTGTGAAACCATGAAGAATGGACTAAGTGACAGTCAAACCCCCACTCTCCTGGATCTTATTTTTCTCTCTATGTCAACTCCACAAAACTAATAAGGGTGCAAAACTTGAGTATTGCTGAACTATATATAACTCTATGCAGGACAGTATTGTTATTAAGTATTAGTTTATAATATGCGCTTTTTCCAGTCAATTTTCCTCTATTTGTCAATTGGCGCCTGCTCGATGATTTTGGTTAAGTGAATATTGCCTAAAGCGCTGCACTCCACTTCTTTCAACAACAAACAAATATGAGACTCAAAGAAGTAGGGGCATTTTTATTTTTTGTATGCTTAAAGTAGATGAAAGAAATATTTTTTTTGTAAAACTGTGGATGACGACTTTAATTTCATCATCTGGCAAATGGAATGAAAAAATGCTTATTATTTCTATGACAATAATACTGTTCTGCTTTCGAAGGTGAGCAATGCACTTCTATGTATCTGTATTCCAGCTAATTTGGTCGCATACCAATGTATGAAGTAACTATAAATTAACATTGATTCATTGATGATCTATTAAGTGTGAAGTATCACATTAAGTCATATCGACTTGATCATTTACTACTGGTGAGCAACAGCAATTCATGATACGTCCTGCATTCATTAATGCATTAAATAATCACGAGGCACGCACTAGTATTATACTTAATTCGATGTGGGCAAAAGAGACAAATTAAGTTTGAAAGCATAGCACAAACTCAGTGTTCATACAGGCCTCATGCAATTATCAAATGTTTAACACCATTTCATAAATGTAAGATTTAATTTTAATTCCGTGCCCACACATCTTTGACCTTACAAAAAAAAGAAAAATGCACCTATAGTTGTTTGAGGCTCAAAAGCCCGGTTATATCATTTTCTTTCAGTTTGACGGCTTCAGCACAAAGTTTATTTACTTTCTTAGGCCTATATCACAGGTACAGTTTCCCTCGCCGTCTCTCATTATACCAATATGAAATTTAATATTTCACTCTAGAGATCTGCCTGAGATCAGCTATCACTATAAATCGGCCGCATGTTATGTAAACGAACCCTTCTACGTGGAAGGTAAATGTAGTCCAGTTTCAACAAACAAGACAACACAATCTTTCTGTCGTTCATTTTTATTAAGACAATACAAATATATATATACATTATAACATATAATATCATATTGTGGTAATCTATACAGTGCAATTATAAACATTAAATTGGACAGCTCTACCAAGGCCTCCAGACATTGTGCTGCGTGTTTGCAACGTCATTCCTGTGACTGACGGGGTGAAACATCTTGTTACTGGAACTTTTTTCACGAGTATTTTGTGTGGGCGCCGCTGCAGGGACAGCCTGTCTGGTTCCAGATGCGTCTTCAGTCGGTAAAAAGGAAGACGTGCTTGCACTATGGGGTTTCAAAGCTTTAGATTTAGTCGTTTTTCTTTCATCAGGTCCTGCTACGGACGGAAGATTCCTCCGCACCTCATCCTGTGTCTCCGCTTGGTGCGGACCGCTGTCCATGGTGCTGAAGACTTCCTCTCGTCTACGAGAGCGGCAGAGTTTACTGGAGAGCTGCGATAACATCCAACGGTCGCTCCCCTTCAAGTTGTCTGCCATCAGCAGATACTGGTTGACGTTTGCCAGGCAGCTGCGGAAACCACTTTGATAGTCTGAAAACTCTGAAGCAGCGGCGGTGCCTGAAAGCAGTGGAAACACTAAAGTTAAGAAAAACACATGCATACAGTTGTGCGTAAAGCTGGTCTGAAGCATCCATATGTAACCTTAAATCAGAGTGTTTGAATATCTGATGGCTTGGTCTGCTGTAAGTGTGAAGTTATAACTTACAGCTCTGGATCTTTTGGAGGTTCCTTAGATGTTTCACAGTCAGCTCCAGGATGTCGGCCTTTTCCAGTTTGCGCTTTCGAATCTGAGAAAAGAGAAGAGATTAGATTTCAGCCATTTCCCGTAATTATTATCATAAATTAAACATGAATTACAATAACTGGTCCGAGGTAAAAAAATGATTATGTGTTCGAAATTATAGAGATGCTCTCTGCATACTTACACTAGTGCTGTAGTAGCTCTCCAGGAGAGATTTTAACTGGTCCAAACACTTGTTTATGCGAGCTCTTCGTTTCTTTTCCATGAGTGGTTTGGATACCTTTAAAACAAAAAAAGCCGGTAACATGAATTTGCATACAATAAAAATAATTTCGTGGTATTTAACTATCTGTTTTTGAATTATGTTCATCTTAATACATTATTTAAACACCTTGTTTCCAGCGATGGGTTTGGACTTTTCCACACAGTCTGTCGTCGCCACCATTCTGTTAGTCCTTTTCTGGTTTCCTTGAAGTTAATCTCTTTCCCTCTGTGGCGCACGAATGAAAGAGTTGACCCTGAGTGGATTTTTATAGAGACACCCACTTAACATCTCAATGCAAACAGTCCCGCCTGTCTCTTGCGCTCAAATGAGTAACACCGCGGCGTCATTTGACAGCCAAAACCAACCAAAGGCTTAGACGCACAGAAAAGTGAATCATGTTATGGTGTTTGAAGTTTATATTGTAAATTGTTGAATGTTTTGCTATTTAATTCCTCTAGATTGATAACAACTACAGGCCGTGCAGAGTGCAGAGGAATAGTCAGACACCACAATGTATAGACATGTTACGCATAAAAAATGTGTCCCTTTGGGATAGAAAGTACTCTGTCTGTCTATTTATAGCTATTGGGATTATTTTGAGGTCAGTTTAACACGAAACATACACAGACCACTACGTGTAGCCTTCGAAATGAATATACAAGTGCCAGCCCGAGAAACAACGTGTGGGGCAAAAAGCTAAGGAGAAGCGTAAAAATCCTAAACATAATGGGTAATCATAATTGTTCTGCTTTGCGAGCATGCTGTGGGCACTATTGACTCCTGTATTCAATCTTTTATATGTGAGTTTCACGCCACCAGGTCGAAGGCCGCACCGTGGTAATTCCCTGCGTGTCCCCGCAACATTTCGATTTTCTGGTGACCACTTCTAGTAAAAACTGTTACACCTGCTAAATGTTATTACAACAGTTAAACTACATTTTAATGCCAACGTGTACTTTTTTTTTTTACACATTTAACGCCAACACATATAGTTTGAAGAGCACTAGAGATTTCGCTAAATTGTTGTTACTTAAGGATTTTTCGACTATTGTGCGTCGCCAGTTTTTGTCTTCATACCAGCCGCGGTGAGGCACCGAGGAGAATCGCGGGCCGCCCCTTGTCCTCGGTCCCTCGCCTCTCGATTTTCCACACTGCTTCCTGAAAGGGGCGAAGGCTTGGGAAAGTATACCAGCTGAAACAATGTATTGACTGGACTGCACATCTTGTGCTCTCACACACACAACATATGAACATACTAAATGGGGTTGAATTAAGGCTATAGACACCCTTTTATGAGATGCTCTATGTTGGCTGTAGCACGGTCTGTAAGGTAAATGCGATCATTGTGGCCAATTCACTCTGTAGATTTGTGTGATTTGGGCTTACTTGAGTATTTCCAGGTGACAGAAAGTCAGTTTAGATGGTGCGTTTTGATAGAGGAGAGACGACACATAAAACATTTCTTACATTGCCCAAATCTGCTAGCCTGATCCGGTACACAATGCGTGTGTTAAAGGAGGGGCCTTTGTATTCAGTCTGGGGAGAGCGCGCATGAAAAGAGGCCAGTTTATAGTCGCGCTCCATTGATCTTTTCTTACGGCATGCTTTGTGACCACAAACGTGTGGGCATCAAAAGATTCCCTCCACTTCTAAAGTGAACCAACATAGCTCTTCTCTTCATTCCGTTTTGACAAGATAAAGTAGCTACTTCGTGTACAATCTGCTGTCTCATTTGATTGCCACAAAACGCTACTCAATTGTGTTGTTCAAACTGTATTATGCTGCAATTAGTAGGATGAGATGAATAAAGTATCTCTGTATGTATGTATGTATGTATGTATGTATCTATCTATCTATCTATCTATCTATCTATCTATCTATCTATCTATCTATCTATCTATCTATCTATCCATCTTCTCGGTTATTAAATTGCACAACATATTTGTAAAATGTATCCTTTTTTTCAATACTGTATTGTTAGTCTCGCAAAACTAAACTCTCAAGTCCCAATTCGAAGCTATAATTCAAATAGACTATTGAAGCACAGGCATGTCAGGCGTGTGTCAGCCACTAATTGCGTAAAATGTACCGAAAACTTGCGAGCCACATTTGTTGTCTGTTATATACTAAAGCATTTAATCGGTATGAAATTTGCCCGAGGTGCTCTGGTGTAAGTGAGCTTTTTGGTGTCTTTTGTCCTCTCTGGACGCCACATTATCTGCCTTTTCACGCTCGGATTTAGCACAAGACCGTGGAGCGTTGATTTCAGCATGAAGTCATGGCATCACAACGGTCGCCTGTTTGGATATTCTGTGCCGCAGAGTAGAGATTTCACCGCTGATTATTCGGTATAATTTCAATTAGTGTTGGCTCTCTGGGGTCTACAGTGAAGAAATGCAGCCAGGCTTTAAACGTGTTTCCCTCCAACCTCACTTCTCTCAAAAGTCGTTATGTCATCATCTATCCATAAGAATGGCGCATAGAGAAACTTGTGTCCCAAGTGGACATAATAATACAAGTGCCCTTAAATGACAAGTTAAGTGTATGTTTATAAAAGGAGTCGGGCTCTCGCTTCACTTTCACTTTTCAGCCCCAGGTCATTCATTAACCCAATCGGACCTTTGTCATGGAGGCATGCCGGCGGGGACCCAACAATGCTGCTGTAATAATTGGACTATTGGGGAACTTGTTAACAACAATTAGTGAAGCAATTATGCAATTACTGCAATAAACTATTATCTTCCTCGAGGGAAACTGAGACATTTGCAAACCAATGGCTAGGCCGGTGACAGAAATGCAGAGGTTGTACATCTGCCGTTTAGGGTATTTCTGAAGAAAACATTAAGTAAATAATAATGTCTACGGATAACAATATATTACAAATAATATAAGCTACTGCATGTGTTTTAGCAACATGCGTGGTTAGTGTAAAGTTACCGCAAAATAATAGGCCTACATTATGCAATCTGATGACATCACTCCATTAATTATCCTTTAATTAAATCATGCCAGTGCTGCAGGTCATTGTATTTGGCAGAACATCATTGCAAATGACCAATGTATATTGTGGTGAATTTCGTATATATTGTAAACACATGCATTAAAAGGCTATACTATGTTGGCATGTCGCAGTAGAGCGCTGTTAAAATATGCAAACACTGGCCCATAACTTGGTGCAGCGTGAGCGGAGCAAATCGATGTACCGCCTTCCATTCAAATTGACCCGAGGCAGCGCTGGTGTGACCAAAACGCTCATTGTGAGTAACAAGGTCACAGTAAAAGGAGCAGGTACAAGGACAGGTGCAGTGTAAAAATATTAGAAATATATACAGGACTTTCTGAAAAGCCACGCGACAGACCTGTTGACGAAGCTCTGATCAAACATCAAATAGAAATAGCGTCATGAATTTCTATAGACTGCTCCTCGGGTTATTTAAAGACTTCTTACTTTGGTTCGGGAACACAATGGCGGCTGTTTGCCTGTGTGTGCCGGGGTTACCGCATGAAAAGGCCAGAGGTGCACATTAACATCGCTTAAGGTTTTCTCAAGGACCGAAATGAACTGGCTGGAAAGTAACTTTATAACTCGGTGGAGGATGAAGCCTTTGTCGAGCTCTGAACTGAAAGAGACAAGTGCCTAACAAAAGAGGAGCGCCATTGTTAAACACTAAAGCGCATGGGCATTGATGCGCCTTGAATTGCAAAACATCTGCCATTACTCTGAACCACTTGAGCAAGATTTGAATGACAATAACCAAGCACCCTTTAGCGCTCCGCATTTAGCCGTGTGTAAAACAACAGTTAGCCATATGACCAACGTTGGAATTAAGCATTTGGTTTAGGATTAGCATCATATCAACAAATCAAACAAACCTCTGAGGATAGCATTTTTGCCTTTTCTCTGTGCCATATCACTTTAGTGCTGACTCTCACTCCTGATAGATCGACACTGTCCTAAATTAGGCCTGTTTGTTTGCAATATTCATGTTTCTCCGTGTACTGAAAAAAGGCCTATTGTCTGAATGTAGTCCACGTCACGGCATTTTAGTTTTAGTCTGATGAATTTATGACTATGTACACATATAGTCCTATTGGTTAGATCCATCTCTTCACACACAATGTAGAACACAGCCTCTGTAGATCAAACCCATCGTTTGTTTTAAACAATATAGCACACGGGCTAAAAATTAACTCCCAACTAATTGTCATTGCTGAAGGCGACCCGCGTGTATTGACAGTGAGTACATAGATATTCCGTTCCACTCAAACACGAATTAATTTGATCATTAACTCTCTTTGTTGAAAATCAAATCGATATTCTCAAAGACAGGACAATTTCAATGAAATTGCTACACTAATTTTTATGATACATAAGTGATAATTAAATGCGGAAATTTGACTAATAGGGAAAATAGGAGTCCAAATAGCTCTACACCAGCACCCCTGACGGACGAGAACCTGTAGTCTTTCACACAAAAGAAGATTATTTTAAAGGCGAATCCCATATGGCCACCAAACGCAAATGGCCTCCACTTAAAGTGTGTTTGTGCTTTAGGCGAGGGAGGACCAGTTGCTGGCCAAGTTTTTCCCAGGGTTTTCCCCTTTATCTGACCAAAGTGGAAAATTGAAAGGTACAAGTGAAAAGCCAGTGGGCGTTCCTCCGATTTTCCTCGCTCCATATTTTGTAAAACAGAAATATGTGTCCCCTCAGCAGAAAAGCCGCCTCCATCGGCTTGAACTAAATAACGAAAATAAAAAAATAAAGATCAAATTAGATTAATCAAGGCATGTTGGCGTTATATAATACAAAAATGATGCAAGTAAGTCTCGGCAATTTAGGCTATGAGCTATATACTCATCGTGTTCCATATTTAGACTAGGATTTATCACCCTGAAATCTTAGTGTTTCATCACAACGCTAACACTGTAGGCTAATCTTGAACCTCTTGAACAAATCTTGAACCTCTGACGGAGAGGATGAATACGCAGAATTTCTGCGTGACAACGTGTGTGGCGAATGTAACTCTGAAATTGGTATGAAATCGTCAATTTGTTTGGTGTCAGCGTTCAGCTCTCCAAACGCGCCATATGCCATGCTAAGTGGCACCATTTACCAATTCGTTCCTAGTTTCACGGTCCATCCTCCCCTTCTCCCTGCCAGGAAACTGAATAGCCTCAAC